GAACGGATGTGGGGCAATAAACTCGAATTTCTTTTACTTTGAAAAATGTAAACATGGTGAAGCCCCTGCCAAAAAAAAAGTTTTATAACACCTCATACTAGCTTATCAGTGACAGCACAGAACCTCGTCTTTGCTTCCTAACAAAAACAATCCATTTCTAAGTTGCGTTATGGCATTCGATGAAAAATGGATTTTGTACAACAACCAAAAGAGTTTAGCGAAGTGCTTCTAAACACCTTTCAACAAGAATTTACAACTAAAATGGATATAATGAGGGTTTGGCGATCTGCAGCCGGCTTTGTCCACTTCGACTTTCCTAATGCTAGAAAAGAGACAGAGAAAACTCTGCGAAATCGATAAAGTTAAAAACTATGCCACATATATCCACTAATGGACAATATGTTCAAACCTTCTGCACCACATTTCTCGACTACATGTTGGGCAACAACCGCTGCAGAAGTTAGACGAATTGGGAGGCCGAATGCTCCTTGACTTTATCGCACTCATCGCCTGGTTTGCCAACTGAGAACTGCTCTAACAAGCATCGAAGAAGCAACTTCCAAAAAAGTCACCAGCAACCAAATCACTGATAAAATACTTTGAAAGGCCTCTAAAAGTTTACATAACGGGTATAGATTAATTTGAATTTTGTTGGCAAGAATATGTAGGTTAAAAATTGCATTGTTTTGCTTAGCAAAATTTTTGGATAGACCTAGTTGCAGTGATCCAAAATTGACCTTCAGACACTACGATTACTTGCATACCAACGCTTTCCATCCAAAGGAGAATTGCAGCTGTGTGACTCGGTCTGAAACCGAATGCGGTATTTAATTCCTTGTTAGGTTGAGTAACGCATTCCAGTAAATGAATCAAGTAGTGTGTGTGTCAGTGTGCGTGCGTGCGTGCGTACGTGGGTGTGTGTATGTGTGTGTATGTTCGTATGCACTTAGATGGTCACCTTCACCAGTCATACAAATCCCACTACACTTCCCATTTGTTTGGTATTCCCAGTCCAAGGTGGTGATCTGTTGCGAACATAATGTCTAGAAGCCCATTTAGTAGGCTATAAATTTGACATTTACGCTCAGAGCTTTAGAAAATAACTGCAATGAATACCAACTGTTAACAAACGTTCTCTGCGAAGTAAGCCCTTATCGCTGAGGATGCGCTACAGAGAAAAAGAACGTACAAGTTTGTTATCTGAAAAAATCTTTATTGCGGTTCTGATGCAAACACTATAATTGTTTCGACATTCTTCTTAACAAATTCAGCGACGTTACTTCAGGAGAGACGCAACATTTTGGCAAAGACTTTATATTCAAAGGAAGTGAATGGTCAATAAGTCACATAGTGCTTGCGCTGTATCAGGGAAACTGGGCCTATGGAGGCTATGGAGTTCTCAATTACGGCATGGAAGATATTAAGATCAAGGACTTCAAAAGGTAACTCTCGTTTAAAAAATTATTTGGTGTTTACTACTCCAGGATATTGCTTGGTTTATAAAAGTGATGTCGAAAGAAAAACCCATATGGTGAAGCTTCTATCATCTACATATTTTCAGATTATAGTGGCGTATGACGTTTTAGAGGGTGCTGGGTATGAGAAGTTTTATGAGATATCCGTTTGGTAACTCTGTTTATGTTGACAACATTGTCGTTGTGGAATGATGGAATTGCGACTTATTTATTTATATGATCTTGTAAACTGATCTCTTTAAGCTAATGCGAGGTTGGTATAAGTCTTCGTTGTCGTTGTCGTTGTTGTTGGTTGGGGTTGGTGGAGTCGCACTCGTAACAGCACTGCTCTGAAGAAGGCGAAATCGCCGAAACGTCAGGTATCGACCAACAACACCAAAAGCAACGACAACAACAACGACAACGACAACGAAGACCTATAACAACCTCGTACCAGCTTAAGAAGATTAGTTTATACGATCATATAAATAAATATTTCAACTATATATGCCGAGGTTTATAAAAAGTCGGCCTTTTAAGGAGTTACGACTTTCTATACGCCGTAGAGCTCCTTCAAGGTTTTTTGTGCTTATGTGCTTGTGCATAACCTTCATGAACCCGTCTCTGTGTACAGAAATGTTAAGTAGCTTTCAATCAATAGAAGTGACGGCAGAAATGACGGCATTTAGCACTCCCAATATAATTTTGACCTATCATTTACTGCCTACTCTAATTATCTCAGCATCATTAAAGTTATATTTCGCAATATATACCCTGCCGTTAAAAAGAGTAGGCAGTAAATAATAGGTTAAAATTGTGATTATAAATGCAACCTCAGCTTAACAGGGTTTGTTGCCGATTTGGGTTCCCCGGATCATTCCTGCTGACTGGTGATTGCTGATGGCCAAAGATCGATAGAACTAGCTGAGAGACAGTCGAAACGAAGGACTCGCATGGTGTTGTGGTGAACGCGTTACTCCCCGGCAAGGACAATAGCGCGTTCGTTCTCCGCCGCAGACACATGCGGTCCGGAGTTTTGCAAATATCTCAACATCATTAAAGTTATACTACCACTATATTTCCGTTTTGCCTTCGGTTATGGCTGTCCACTGGCATCGTAACTTTTTTCAGGATATAACGATCATATCAAACAGCTATTTATGGTTTTATCCATGATTTTTGTTGTTTATGAATACGCGTGTCCGTGGAACTTCTTCACATGTTTTCTTGAGGGAAATCTTAACGTTGAGGTCTTTAATAGTGGCCTTTCGCCTTTCTAGATCCATATAACTATCAACACAACGTAATTCCATAGACCAATGTGACCTAAATTAGCGAACAAGTTCTTTCGTGCCTGCTAGTGTTCATTTTTTCGTAATTGTCCGTTCCAAATTCACAGTCGTTCAACGGAAGTGGGTTTATGTTGATCTCGCTTTTACGTGGACTTTAGCTTATGACTTCACTCGAAAGACACCAACTCTACTATTTTTTTGCAATTATATAGTCCTAGTTACATCTTCTCCGTTGTGATAAACGTTAATGGCAATGAGTATGTATTCGCCTCGTCCACTTCGCACTTGCCCATAGCCTTTGTCATCATTTTTCTAACAGGTTCTAGTGCTAGTGCAACCCCTGGAAGTTTCACCATATTGAAGCTGAACTTTTGCTCACCTCAGCTGAAGGGTACTACTATAGTAACTATTCCTCAAATAATGTTAACTTTTTCTTTACTGCCTATTACATTTTTTCACGGCAGAGTATTATGTGTGACACCACCACAATAATGCTGAGATACTCACAAAGCTCCAGGCCGTTTCCCACCGCAGTCATCTTTGGTCCAGTCTTGCAAATATCTCCGCACCGTTGTGGTTGTATGTCACTAGCACTGCTGTTCCCGTACACCGATAATAGAACTAGGCAGCACATGCACAGCACTGTCTTCTTACCATTTCTTCACATCTTAGTTAAAATTGAAAAAAAAGCTACCTCGAATGGGCGGTTTTCTACCCTCTTAACCCATTGGTATCATCTCGTAAGGGGCGTGCGGCGTAGTTGTCGGAATCGCTCTGCAACACATACGTGGAATCGATCCAAGTGCCCATGGTCCACCAAGCCTTCCATCCCTCCGAGGTCAGTAGGGTCAGTAAAGTGGTACCAGACTTTTCTGGTAGGATAGCAGCACTGGCTCGATACATCGGTAGGCCACTGCGAGTATTGTTAAGGCCAAATATGCATTCAATCACCTCAAAACAAAGCTTAATGAAGTCGAATACATGGCGCATCTCAACGTCGGGAGCTTTTCACCCTTTTAATCTTGTACTACGTTCAACGTTACTCATCACGTTTGGTTGAGTTAAAGCTAGGACAACATTTAGCGTACATATTTCACAGTGCAGTCAGTCTTACTGAAAATAACAACATCTAAGGTGAAGGGTCGAAGGCGGATAGTCATCAACACTCTTTACAAGACTTCTCTATTATAAAAAAAGAGAAATAGATTGCTTGATATCACAACATTGGATTGATTCTGTTATTCCTTCCAAATTGATTGCTGTAACAAAACGTTAAATGCTAACAATGAGGATTACCGTACACTATACCTTTTGTTTCTTTCTTATCCTTTCTTATTATCCTCAACATTTTCGTCGATTTCTGACTGCAGAAAATGTAAACAGAAGAATTTTAGTGATTAATCCACATACATTTTTCCTAGGACAGTACCACGTGCCGTTCTCACCGGTCTATTCGGCAGTGCATTTGTCTACGTGCTGACCAATGTTGCGTATTTCACTGTGCTCACTCCTCAAGAGATGCTGGAGTCTTCTGCTGTCGCAACGGTAACGTTCCTTGCGATTTAAAATATTGGTAAAAAGATAGATCAGTTAGAATTCTTATTAGTCGGAAAAATCTATTCGCCTTAGACATTCGCTCAAAAGACGGTGGGACCGCTATCTTACGCGATGCCAGCCTTGATTGCTCTTCTCATGGTGGGAAGTGTTAATGCAGAAATATTCGCATGGAGCAGGTTAATTATCAACTTGTAATGATATGTGCTTTCGAAAAGGTCTTCGGCAATCGTTCCGGTATCGCATCTTTAATGAGCTCTTTTTTGGTCGACTAATGGAAATTATCAGAAACAATTCCACGTGTCCGTTATTCGAATGTTCAAAAGTAATAAAAAACAAATCACCGGAAGATTTCAACTAAGAGATTAACACAGTTTTTTGTGAAGCCTGTCCCAAGTGAATGACGGGAAATGTAGGCTTAGAACGTATCGAATAGCTGCACTGACTAACTAAGGCGCTATGGAGTTCTTAGAGATTCCTTCATTTTAAACATTCTTCTATTTGTGTTCTTTAGAATAAATTATTACTTTTAATCTCGACATTCATGGAGTTTTTTCGTGCTACAGGATAAGCAACCCCTCAATTCTTGCTGGGTTAGAAAATTTGCACCAGTGTTGTCTTAGAATACGTTTGGACTTGATAAATTGGTAGGCCCATAAAGACCATTGTATAAACCTAATACCCATTCAATCACCTCAACACGATCATCATTGGAATGGAATGCATAGGACACCGCTGAAAGAATGCTTAACGCCTATTGTTATATGCCTTTGCACTTTACATGCAGTTTCGAAGTGTTCCCGAGGTTCCGAGCTTAGCTTATATCTCATCATTCTTGTGGATGTATTATCTGTTGCCTGTTTAAGATTTATGTTGGCTGGTTCTCGTCGGGGAATGATGCCTACCGCTTGGTCTCTCGTCCATTCTGAAAACGACAGCCCAAGAGTCGCAGTTTTCACCCACGTACTCGTCTGCATAAATTCGATTCATTTTTACGCCTATCATCTCTTTCTTTCATTTTATTTTGCTATATCGACGCATCCATATTTCAGACTGTACTCGCTATGGCGTTCTGTCTAATTGGTGATGTCTACGTGTTGGTAAGCTATTTAACGATAACGGCTGTGGCCGCTACAATGTTTTCGGTTGGTGCGCTTGTATTCATAAAATGGAAGAAGATTCCGGTTAGCGCAAACGCTGTTAAGGTAAACTTCTTCCACACAACATTTTAATCATTTGAAACCTGTGGTTGGATTTCCCACACAGCTACTTTTTTTTCCATAATTAAAGACTAACTGAGAATTTTTCCGAGCACTCCATTTCAGTTCCCTATCTGCTTGCCAATTCTCAATCTCATAATCATTCTAGTCTTGCTACTTATCCCAGTGATTGTCGAACCTATAAAGTCGGCCGTCGGGTTTGCACTGTTCATTCTTGGGATTGGCGAGTCGTTTTTTTTTCTCATATTTCTATCCTACCCAGAAGGATTGCAATCCACTTTCAATTTTTAGCAATAAAAAAGAGAGAGACTCTTCAATTTCATTTTATTTTAGTGTTTTTTGCTTATTTACTTTAATAAATTCCACGTAAATCAATAACTCGCTATTCAGCGGGTTACTACCTGTTCCAACGGCCGGCAAAGAAACCCGATGTTCTTTTGAAATTGGACAGTAAGTCGTTATCACTATTATGGTGCGTAAAATAAAAAAGGAAGTAATAAATCAGCAAAGGAAGGAAAAAACGAAACAGATTTATTATTGATAACGGAACTGCGATAACACTGAATATCTAGTGGAGCCAACTTTGCCTTAGTTGACAATGATGTTCGCCCGGTACTGTATAAAGTAACGAATCGCTTCATTATTAAAATGATTCAAACACTTGCTATTCGCCTGCAACCATTGCCAACACGTTATAGTGAATTGATAAAAGCTCGAGGATTAGAATAAGTTACAGAAGTATCTTAACCCTTTTATTTACTGCTTTTTTCTTTTTAATGGCAGGGTATGTTGCGAAATATAACTCGTATATAATGCTGAGATATTTGCAAAACTCCGGACCGCAGGTGTTTGCAGTGGGAAACGAACGCGCGCTATTGTCGTTACCGGGGAGTAGCGCACTTTATCACCACACCATCCGGGCTTACATAAGTAAAGTAGATATGTTTTGAAGTGCAACAATAAGGATACCGAGATATGAGCTAAACTGGGCAGGCCATGCAGTAACTGATAGCATCGATAGAATACCGAGAATAAGCAAAGCAAGAGCCTTGGTTGATGTAGCAGAGGTAGCCGAAAGCTCGAAACCCATATGAGGTCTCCAGTTTCCATCATATCTCAGCATCTCTATGGTTGCAATTCCGATCGTACTCTGCCATAAAAAATAATGGGTAATAAACAAAAGTTGAAGCATTTATTGAAAAAAACAAGTCGAAAGTTGAAACAGATTGGAATAATTTATATAAATAAAGAGCTATTAAGGTATTATCGGTTTTTCCAGGCCTCACAACATATGTGTGCCAGCAAATATTCTGGGTGGTTCTCGACTCTGCCCCATCCTACAAGAACGAAGAGGGAAATTGCATCGACGCAGGTTCTGATTCGAGAACTGAACAAGAAGATATAAAGGAGATCATCCCTACTGTATGTGGCCACTTCTCCACAGGAGCAAAGCATAGAAATGGCACTACTCCACACCCCGAAGATACTGCAGTTCTGAAGTTCTAGTCGTTGTCAGCAATGAAGACCTGGTCGCGTAATCATTGCTAGTCTTACCATAACGATGTAAACTAACTATTTGTGTCTTGGTTCCTTATACGGTCTTGTCTTTGAATGTTTTTAATTGTGGATGTTATTTTTGTGCGGTGTATGTATGGCCTCAAGCTGCACTACATCAAGCTCATTTTGCTTGATCCCTTCCGAATCATTTTCTCATCTCGAGAGAAAGATCTCAAAAAAGAGGAAAACAGATTCATTCGAGTTTTCTGAATGTTTCTACGATATTTCACATATTATTCAACATATGCTCGACCACCGTTTCACGCTGGAGAAAAAACCCTGAACTAGTTAGCGCTTTAAACACGTGAAATGCTGGTTTTTCATCAATAAACGACAATCCTTGCGCAAACACAAACGGTAAATTTTTAATGGCTAGAAGGCTTGTGGTGCTGCGAACATTAAAAAGTTACAGAAAAGGCATTGCTTTATCCCTCTTGAAGAAGAATGTTCTAACGACGCGCTCCATTTTCCTACACTTCACCTACGAATTATTCATAACAGAATTCGGAAGGCTGTGTAGTGGACACTCCGTTGCGCACCAAAATCGGAGCAGTATAGCATTGTTGATAATTTGTTGTGCAGGCAAATTGTCTGTCAATCACCGATAATCCTTATCTTCTGGATGTATGCTTTTCTTCACTTCAGATGGTCACAGTGAGCTTGACCTTCATTCCGTTCTTGCGTCCAGGTAGTCTTTTCACCACGAAACCAAAAATTGAATGTCTCTATGAAATTCGAGTGCTTAATAAAATTTTGAAGATTGGAATCCTTCGTTCACTCGGCGAATGATCTTAGTTGATGGGTCATTACTTGTTTCCTACAACGAACATAATCGATTAGTAATGTCTGGAGGAAAAGAAGATTTCGTCTCTGCTATTCACCGCAACCTTTTTAAACAATTTTTATACGATCCGTCTTCACGGCTACTGTGCGCACCCCAGTACTTCTCACCTTCGATTCGTTTCCTCGCATCCATCATCCGCGAAGGACTTCCAAGCTTTTGCGCGTGGGTTCGGTTGCTGTTTGAGGATTTTCATTTCGTCTCGAATGTCGTAGAATACTGGTCGAGCAATTCTCTCTAGAGTCCAAAGATAGCCGAGCTGGAGCGTTCCCAGTTGGATTTCAGAGAGTGACTTTTTCCCAGATAAGTCCGGTACCACCCCGGAGGGAGGAGAGGCTTTGTTTGTCCGGAGCGGAATAGAACATGCGCCATGCTCGTGAAGACGGACATCATTACCACTGTGCTATCCGCCCCCTTGTGCTGCATTACCTCGATAACACTGCATCGGAATAAAATACAGGTGAATTTGACATGTGTTTCCTCGTTACTGCGTGATTTATGCATATAAAAGGAAAGTGAGTTAGCATGAGAGTTTCTTCATAGTGTGCTCAGAGTATGGCGAGAATTGGGTGAATCGTAAAACTTGTTTGAAACAATTACCGACCTCATACTTGAAATATTTCTTTTCGAAGAGACCTTCTGTGCACCTGCAGATTTCCTTCATAAAAATTTTAGGTCAACTCAATGGCTTTTGGAAATTTGTGAATAATATTTGTAACTCTTTTATTTACTGCCTTTTTCTTCTTAATGGCAGGTTATGTTGCGAAATATAACTCGTATGAAATGCTGAGATATTTGCAAAACTCCGGACCACAGGTGTATGCAGTGGAGAACGAACACGCGCTGTTGTCCTTACCGGGGAGCAGCGTCCGGGTGGTGTAGTGGTGAAGTGCGCTGCTCCCCGGTAAGGACAACAGCGCGTGTTCGTTCTCCACTGCATACACCTGTGGTCCGGAGTTTTGCAAATATCTCAGCATTTCATACGAATAATATTTGTATAAGGTGTTAGAAGGAAAACCTGTAGGTATACAAAAGTAAATGAAGAGGAATCCATTTAAAATGAAGCGAACTAGTTGGAAGCATTCGGAACAAAAGCTGTACATTCAATTCCAAAGAAAAACAAGAAACGGTCTTATATTTGAGGTTTTAGGTATTAGTGCGCAGCTATCTATTGGGGAGAGATAACGTTGCCTTTGAGATGTCGCCACTGGTCCACATTTTCACGAATTGACAAAAAAAACGATACATAAAAGTTCAGCCTCGATCATGTACTGTTACAACCACAATGCCCATAGTATTAGAAAGATTTAAGAAAAATTGGACAACCTTCCGGATTCTAAAGAATAAAATTCAGAAAATAACAAGCATTAAGAGTAGGGCTACTGCAGAGCAAGCAATCGAGGAAGCTGCTTTGCCACCGTAATCATCATGTGGTGGCGTTGATATGAAGTCAGCCCTCTTTCCCACTTCTTTAAAGATGTTCACAAGAGCCGGTACGAATTCTCCTTAAACGAATGTCGGTGATGAACATTTCTCACCCTTTTTCACCATCTCTTCTTATCTTTTCGGAAAGGAACGAACCTGTTTGAAACTGCACCTCATTGGAAGCGATGAGTGATTGAATTTCGGCATCACCTTAAATGTTTGAAGATATTTATCTCTCTAGTCCTTTTGCAAAAGATGAATTTAGTTCGACTATTTTAATAGAAGAGTGCATTGAAAGTTGACATATTAGAAGAACAACATTTCAAAGAAACTGTTGTCATCTTACCATAACGTTAGAACTGAGCTTGGGCTTTCCCCTAACACAAATTAATGGGTGGGTTACTCCCCTTCTTAAGCTGACGCGAGGTACGGATGATCGCTGATAGCGCCTATAGATCAATAACACCCCTGAGAGACAGGCGAAACAAAGGACCCGCATGGTGTGGTGGTGAACGCGTTACTCCCCGGAAAAGACAATAGCGCGTTCGCTCCCCCACCACAGACACCTGCGGTCCAGAGTTTTGCAAATATCTCAGCATTATAGGAGTTATATTTCGTAAAAATACGCTGCCGTTAGAAATAATAGGCAATAAACAAGAAAGTCAAGGATGTGTGAATAATTCCACATATTTGCGAAATGTAACCTGATCTATTAATTCAAACTGATTCGGGCGAACAACTAAGCAAATTGACTAGGAAATACAGGAGATTCGGTTCGAAGACATTTTCAACAACCATTCTTTATCACTGCTCTAAAAAAGCACAACGAGCTATTAATGACTGCGTCCAGCCTAAAACGTAGAGTCTATCTAATTTTCATCTCACTTCGCATAAAAAAACACTAAGAATAAAAGGTGTCACGAAAGAGGACGATGTCAATTAAACAGTTTTGGAGTTAGACCAGGACGAATGAAGATTTAAATGTAAAACCACAACTACTGCTGGGTAATACAAACGATAGGGTAATCGTTGATTTAAAAAGGCATTAAAATTGTTACCACTGCATAGGGTGGCGAGTGTGGCACAGTGGTCGGATGCGCTCTGCAACATACATGTGGAATCGATCCGCACGCCTATGGCCCACCAAGCCTTCCATACCTCCGAGGTCAGCAAATTGGTACCAGACTTG